TTAAGACTGATACTTTAAGAGACTTTAGTTAAGATTTAGCTTAGGAAGATAAATAGGAAAAAATGAAATAGTAAAAATCATAAGTCAGTGGTAGAGCACATGCTTAGCAGGTGTTAGGTCCTGAGTTCAATTCCCAGCACCATTAAATAAATAAATAAATAAAACTATATCTTCTGCCTTGGGTGTGCTCTTTCTCTATCTTGGATTGCTTGCTTTGGGGGAAGCAATAGCATTTAAGATATGCCTGTTGTAATTTATTTGCTGGTTCACCTCACTGGCATGGTACAGTCCTATGGGAAAAGTACCTTTGGAAAGGAACTGAGAGAGGCCTCCAGCCAAGAACCAAAAAGGAATTGAGGCCCTTAATTAATCTAACAGCTCATGAGGAATAGAGGGTCATTCATATAAGAAAGCCTGGCAGTAAATCCTTCCACTGCTGAGTATTCTTGTGACACCAGAGCTCAGCAGCTTGACTGCAGAGACCTCAAGCACAGGTACCCAGCCTAAATTTCTGACCCATAGAAACTCTGAGATAATAAAGTTTGTGTTTTAAGGTCTTGAGTTTGGGAGTGATTTGTATACAAGAGATACTAATAAATTTTCAAAAGTTTTTATTTTTGTAGTGCTGGGGATGGAACTCAGAGCCTGATGTATGCTAGGCAAGTACTCTACCACTGAACTATATCCCGGGCCCCCAAAGATTTTCCCTTTTCTCCCCTTTTCTTTTTTAAATATTTATTTATTTATAGATGAAAACACATTATCTTTTTTAATATTTATTTTTTAGGTATAGATGGACACAACACAATGCCTTTATTTTTTATTTTTTTTATATATAGTGCTGAGGATTGAACCCTGGTCCCGCCTGTGCTGGGCGAGCGCTCTGCCGCTGAACCACAATCCCAGCCCAAAACACAGTATCTTTATTTATTTTTGTGTGGTTCTGAGGCTCAAGCCCAGTGCCTCATACATACAAGGCAAGTGCTTTAACACTGAGCCCCAACACCAGCCCTCCCCTTTTCTTTTCTTTATTCTGATATCGGGGATTAAATTCAGGGATGCTTTACCACTGAGTTACATCCCCAACTCTTTTTATTTTCTATTTGGAGACAGGATCTCCCTAAATTGCCCAGGTTGGCCTTGAACTTATGATCCTCCTGATTCAGTCTCCTGAGTAGCTGGGATTATAGGCATTCACCATACTCAGCTCCCAAAGATTTCTTTGAAGGTTATTTTCACATGGTTTTGCAAGAATTTCTGTTTCTAAGAGTTCTCATGCTTATTTTTGAAATTGTACTTTCAAGAACTGATTTATATTAATAGCGAGAAGAAAAAGTTGATCACATTTATAAATATCCACACACTGATAATCTTATGAATGTTCTTAATTCAACACCCTATGTACCTTTAATTCCTTAAAGTAGTTTTATGGCTCAGAAAGTTCTCTCTCTATCACTAGCTACAGAGGAGAGGAGAAATCTCATTTATCTCTAAGAGACTTTTTGCTAATATTGAAAACTGTATTTTTAAGGTCAGGTTCTAGATTTTATTAGTCAGCATTATAAGCAAGAAGTAGGCTAGTGGAGGTAAATTATGCTGGCAGAGGTGGAGGAGGAGGGCTGGGGATGTGGCTCAAGTGGTAGCGCACTTGTCTGGCATGCGTGCAGCCCGGGTTCAATCCTCAGCACCACATACAAACAAAGATTTTGTGTTCTCCGAGAACTAAAAAATAAATATTAATAAACTCTCTCTCTCTCTCTCTCTAAAAAAAAAAAAAAAAAGAAGTGCAGGGAAAATGGATAGGTAGAGCACTGCAGTGAGGTCTCAAAAATTATAGAATCTAGGTGATGATTCTAGGATGCGAGAGTTTATAAAAAAAAAAAAGTGGAGGAAGAGATGAATAGGTGGGCTGGGGCTGTAGCTCAGTGATAGAGAACTTACCTTGCAGGTGTGAGGCCCTGAGTTCGATCCTCAGCACCACATAAAAAAATAAATGAATAAAAATAAATATATTAAAAAAAGAGATGCATAGGCTTTTATTTAATAACAGTGAAATAAGGAGTTTATAGCATTTAACTCTCTAAAAATTTCAGTCATGCCAACAGGAAGTATAGGAGAGAAAATTATGTTACGCAATTATGAGATAGATGATCTATAGTGACTTTAAATAAAAGCAGTGGGAGAAATTTCAGGTCCAACACAGGACAACTCTGGCCATTTCAGTCCCATGCTCTATGTGGAGTTGCTTCTGGTGGAGTCCAACTGATTCTTTTGCCTAACCCTGCTTTCTTCTCTCTCCTGCCATGGGTGTTGATGCCAAAGACCTTTCCCAATAAACATCCTGCACACTAAACTCTTCCTCAGAGTTTGCTTTCCAGAGAAGCCATCTTGTAACAGATATAAATATTGTCTTTCCTTTTGCCCAAAGAAAGTTCATTTATTTAAACTTGAATTCAGGAGTCATTATAGCATTCTTCAACTGGGGAACTAAGTTCCTATAATAATAAAAAATGGCTCTAACATATTTATGATCCCATTTATATAAAATGCCCAGAGAAGGCAAATCCATAGAGACAGAAAGTAGATTAGTAATTGCTAGGTGCTGGAGGAGAGGGAAGAGCAAAGAGTGACTGATAATGGGTAAAGGGTGATAAAAATATCATTCAATTAAATGTTGATAGCAGCAAAATCTTGTGAATATACTAAAGATCACTGAATTGTATATTTTAAAATGGCAAATTTTATAATGTGTGAATTACATCTCCATAAAAATGTTAAAAGCATTAGCTCTAGTATGTTTTTGACAGTTCCTGTGAACTTTAGACAGATTCATCAAATATGAAGTTTCTATTCATCCATTCATCTATGCAATTGATATTTATCAAGCACCTTATTCTTGGCCTGATATAATAAAAGGTGCTGGTAGATTCAGAAAAACAAAGTCAGTGATACATGGACCTTGAATGTCTTATAGACTAATGGGAGACAGGTGTGGTTTTATCTCCTACCTTGTTGTATTATTTCTCTAGGATGTATTTGTATCATTATGAACAATTATCACTTCCACAAAAAAGATACTTATTTAGCATCAAATTATCTTTGATGTTGAACTAAGTGCTCCATACTATGCAGATTAGACATACTTATATTCTTTCTCCTGAGCAATTTGCAATCTGACAGAGATGACTACACAGGAAGTCATATGAGGTCATTTTAATTAAAAATAATTTAATGAATGAATATATAAACATATTAGATTCAAAGTTTATATTATGCTTGAGTGAAACAACATATACACCATAGCATAAGGAAGGTATAAGAAAAATTGACACCTCCCTCTAGTTAAGTCTGGAAAGTGATTATCTCAGAAATTGTTTGAATAATCAAAGAGACAGGATTAAGCTTCTGCAGATGGATAAGAGAAAGGAATTTTCCAGATTTATGGCAAATATAGCAGAAGGGTAGGTGCCTGGAATCAGGTAGGAAAATTTGCTCCTTTACTTATTAGTTATTTAATCTAACTTAGTACTTAGCTGATTAACTTCAGTTTCCTCAATTGTAAAATGGGAATGATAATAACAGGGTTGTTTTAAAAATTAAATCACATAGGGAAAAAGTCACATAAGGCATTAGTTAACTCAAAATGTTATAGAAATGACAGCAACATTAGAAGTAGAGGAGAAACAAGATGAAAAGATACCTGTAAATTCATTCCTTGAATTTTTGGGATTAGGAATTCATTCAAGGAGAAAAATCACAATTGTTACCTGGCCCTAGAATTGTGACAGCTGAAGTGAATTTAATGTTGCAGTTCTGCTTTGAAAGACTATTTTTTAAAAAACATTTTTTGATTGGTGTGTGTGTGTGTGTGTGTGTGTGTGTGTGTGTGTGTTTTGTTATAGATGGACATAATACCTTTATTTTATTTTTTGCATGCTAGGCAAGTGCTCTATCACTGAGCCACAACCCCAGCCCCTGAAAGACTATTTCTTTTTAGATCAAGTTTTAAACTACCTTTATTTTCTATTACTTTTAGTTTGAGCGTTTTCTTTTTCATCAGTTGATTCCAGATACTACAACAAAAGGTTATTGAAGGTCTATCTGTACAGATACAAAGATTAGTTCCTGCGGGAAATTCAGATATTTCCTAGTCATTTTCTAAAGCTTTTCCAAAGAAGTGAAAATGCTTAGAGGTAAAGCTACCAGGAACTCAACCTATTTGATTGCTACCTGCTTGCTGACCACACCAAATCATCTTTCAGCTATTCTATACTATGACTTGTGCTTGTGTGTTAGCTCCCATTGGAATTCAATGTAAACAGCACTTCTTATACACGTAAATTCAGGATAGTCTCCCCAAGGGTTTGAAGGCCCTGGGGACCCACAGCTATTCTAGGATAAAGACTTGCTCATCCAGGACCAGCAATAAAAGAAGTGCTTAATAATTAATGAAATTACGAAATCAGTTCACATTAGGTAATTCATTTCCGAGCAATCTGGAATTCTGTGTAAAAGAAAAGGCTAAATCCTGTCATAAAGTCTGGATAAAGGGCCCTGAGCCATCAGCCTGGAGAGAAGTTTTAACCATAGCTCTGCCCCTAACTCGCTGAAAGGTAGGTGGTCCACACTTCGTCCCTCAGCTTCAGTTACCTCACCTACAAAGCAAGGGTTAGGGTTGATAGTCTCTCTCTACAGTAATTTCCCAGTCTGAGGCTCACAGAGACCATAACACGAATAAAATTCCTTTAAGGGCAGCTGGATGTGAACTCCTGGTCAAGGTTGAATGATTTGCTCTTTGGGTCCAGGCAGTAGGGGTGACCAAAGGGGACCAATCCGGGTTAATTTATTAATGCATTTGCTCAGGCGTATCTTTTGAAGCTTGGTATTTCCCCGGCCTCTGACGGAAACGTTGGGATCAGAAGAATCTTGCTTAAACTTCAAAACCCTGCCTCTGGGAGCCCCGGGAGCTCGGAGCCAGGCTTAGTCCTGCGCCTGCGTGGTGTGGTTGGAGGGCCAAGGTCGCGCTGGAGCCAGCCCCTCTCTTCTCGTCAAATCTCGCGAGATCGCCCCCCCCCCCCCCGGAGCTCCGCGACGGTGAGTGGCGCGCTGAGGGTCGCTGGGTTTTCTTTTCTTGAGTTAGGTGAGGTTGATGTGGTAAGAGAGGACGCTCCGAACCAGGGTTGTCCTCCCGCCTTCCTCCCGGAAATACTGTCCACGCTGGCGTTCGAAAAGGAGGCGTTTTTTGTTTTTTGTTTTTTAAGAATTATTAGGGGATGGCGCAGGCCTGTAATCCCAGTGACTCCTGAGTCTGAGGCAGGAGGATCGCGAGTTCGAGGCCAGCCTAGGAAATTTAGCAAGATCCTGGTCTCAAAAAATAAATAAATAAATAAAAAGGACTGAGGATATAGTTTAGTGGTAAAACACCCCCAGGTTAAGTCCCCAGTACCAAAAAAAAAA